CTTCTACTCGACACGTGGATATTTCTAATCAATTTCATTTTTCTCTCTCTCACTCTTCGCAATTCTCCGCTAGTTTAGCGGCGTTATCAACGACTCCGCAATCGACTTGTCGACTCGGATTTTTATTGTTATTGCCGAGCTTGTCGCCGGCACGTGACACTTTTGCATTGTAAAATTGCTTTCGCGGGAGACCCGATCGCTCGAAAAAAAAGAAAAAAAAAATTAAAAGCTAACTATCGCAGCGGCAGAAGAACCACGCCAATTGCGATTAAACGCTAGTTCATCCGTTTTTATGGCGAGCATCATGAAGATCGGACCGGGAGAGCGCGGAAGCGATACGAAAGGGTATGATTACGTCGCTCCGTAAGGCCGCCGGAGATCCCTCCCCACACGGCCGCAGTGGGTTGTTGCCGGGCGCGCGGAAATATGTATGGCGAGCATTACGGCTAACGTCAAGTTTACGCAACGCGTATTACGTAAGGTGGACGAACGTATCAGAATACGACCCGGCGCGGCCCAGAACTCGCGGGAGCATGCACGCAAATGCCGGCACGACCGGCGTCGAGAGCTGATGCGTCCCGATACACGGACACTATATTTCAAGTTCAGGCTGTACGCGTCAGAGTATTCTTTTCTCGCCTCGCGACTGCCGCAATTTGCATGATATCGCCGGGAGATAACACGCGAACGTGTTATGCGATGTAAGATTTACGCTATATGGATGAATCTAATAAATATCGCGAAAGAAGACGAAGCCGAGAAATGAAAATGTCGAAACACGAATAAAAATAGTGATACAAGGCGAAAAATGTTGAATAAATTTGTTTTAAGATCTTGTAACTGTGCAGCGATCCGAGATAAGAGAGCAAGAATCAGGTAAATCCGTTTCTCTGAATGAACGTGTTTTTATGTAAAACTGTTTTTGTATTTTAATGAAATAACGTGAGCGACACAAATCGAGACGAAAAAATCTTTTCAACTGTGTCTAGAAAATACAACGAAAAAAAAAATAATCTAAAAGAAATTTCTTCCCAGAAGAAACCTTAAAAAAGGCAAGAGGAACGGAAGGAAAGAATCCTCTTTTAAAAGAAAGAAAAGCTTTCCTGAAGATTTTCTCCCTTTTTCTTTCTCTCAATTTCGACCGCAAGAGACATTGGATCCACTTGTTTTCTACCTGGACAATAGAAATATATTATGGATGTAACTACGAGAAAGCAGTAAAAACAGTACTTAAATTATATTTTTCATTCATATTTTTATAGCAATACAAAATTAAACATTCAAACTTCTAATTATCATCTTCGAAATATTTGCCGGTGGATTTAAACTCGCATTGCTAGTAGCTACGTCCTTCAATTAAGGTAGGATTATGCTGACGAGCATCGCGAATATGTCCTCTCTCTTTAAATTCTACTGATTTCGAGGAAGGGAAGCTCATTTTGAGATGAAATAATAACCTCGTCACGGAAAGATACATCGCGTGTCGTAACAGTGTATCGAATGACTGGGAGCAGTAGGCTACGTATTGCGAGCGATAATCGGAAAACTTCGCCGTAATATCGCTACGAAGATCTGCGACGACCAGCAGACGGTATGACGACCGTCCGAACATATCGGTGCCGACGGTCAAGGTCCGCCATTGGGACACACTCGTGCGACTCGTGCATCTAACCGGCAAAACCTTGGTTAGAAAAGCGGCAGCACGCGGAACTAGAAATAAATCTTCCGTGCGTTCTCCGCGCGCGTTGCACACATGCATGCGCGCGTGCATACCCGTGGCATACGCACGCCACACACACACACACACACACACACACACTCATGCGTACACACACCCACACAGAGAGAGAGAGAGAGAGAGAGAGAGAGAGAGAGAGAGAGACATATATACATATATATATATATACGGTAGCACACCGATATTATTTCGCGCGCGTGCAGTCAGGGCCACGGTGACCTTAACTACCTTCCTCCGCACCTCTACCTCCCCCTCTCGTTGTTGGCCCCCCGTCCTGCCCCGCCCCACCCCCTCGCCGACGAGCGATACTGCATTCGAGGGCACCGGGGGGCGCGGACAGGGGAGGGGGCACGTGCCGCTCGTGGTGACGTCACGTGGTGTGCACTGCGACGCGATGCACCAACGGCGCCGCCGGGTCCTCGCGCGTGTTACCGCTCCGAGATCTAGGTCCATGTGCAGGCGTATGCCGACGGACGAGGATATTCCGGCGTGCGCGTGCGCGACGTTTTAATAGAATTTGGCTCACGTCGGCCACAATCCGCACTTTTTAAGGGTTCAGCCTGGATCCGGTACGTGTGCACGCGCGGACGAGAAGGTAATTTCGAGCGAATGCCGAGCGGGACCGATTTTTATAGAAACTCCTATTCAGAAGCTGTTCGCTTCATCTCTCATTCGTTCACTTTGGCGATAATTCAGCCGGAATTTGGGAAATATGTATTATAGAACATCGATAAGATACGGTAAAATCGTCGACCATAAAGCCTACCTGCACCAAGCGTATCTAAGCTATACATATATATTTAAAGATTTGGGCTTTATAATCCTAAGTTTCCTATACCTTAATGGGATCTCAATTCTAACGTCGAAAAAAGAAACCAGTTTTCACGTGGTTCGAAGATCCACGTGTCGCGCAACGCGCGTGCACGACCTTTCGATAGAGTTTAATCCGTGTCAATTGCAAGAGGTTTATGAAGTGACAAAAATGCGCACAAAAGAAAACCGGTGGGGAAATTTTTCTCCGAAAAACCGTGTCACTGGGAAAAACGCAGGTTTCTGGGATGGAATGTAATTTTTTTTTTTTTAGCATACAAATTCCTCATTTGAAACGATATATGGCCTGATTCATTTGACCGCCCATCGGATAATTCCTTGAAAATCGTTGTGTGCTGCCCGGAGATTCTTGCCGAGTGATCGTGATCTCATGCCTGTGTAAATGTTCGATCGCGCGAGGCGTTACGGCCGCAGGCACGTGACGGAGACAAAGGAAAATCTCCACCGGCACAAAATGCACTCGATATACTCCCATCGATACGCTCGACTACGGCACTGCGCACGTGGATGCGCGTACGTGCACGCGTGCGCGCGCGCGCGCGTTGACACGCGGGCGGAGGACGGGCGTGCAGGAGGAGGAGGAGGAGGGAGCGAGGAGGAAGCGTAGTACTCTGTCGCACTCGTTGCACAATGCAATACACTCGGCTGGAACTTCCTGACCACCGTCCCTCCCTCTTATTCCTTCTCTCTCTCCCTCTCTCTCGCATCTCTCTTTCCTTCCCCGCCTGTCGGTATCTCGCCGTTCATGGATGCCGCGATATGGGAACGGTGGCATCGTCTCTCTCTCCTATCTCGATCGAGTGACCTTTCTCGCGATGACGAGCGCTAAGCGATGAGAGAATCTAGGGAACGACGCCGACGACCTTGGTTGCCGTGTTCGCGGAGATATCAAGCCGGTCAATTGGGTCAGGTGCGCCGATACGCGCGAGGCTCACAGGTAGGGTGGCCATCTTTCTCTGGGGTGTGACTGGGACAATGGGGTAGAAGAAAACTGGGACGTTCCCCAGTTTTTAAAGAGCGCGAGCGAAATGTCTATACGTGTATTTCAAATCTCTGTTATCAAGACTACTCCGCGAGAAGTTAATTTTTTTTTTCTATTCGCTGAACGTATAAATTTTGATGAAATTTGCGTTGGCAGCAGCGGCGTTTCGCTTGGAATTTTTAAATTTTAACAAGGCAAGGCGACGAAAACGTCACGTCTGACTGTTTAATCATGCATTGAGATGCGAAACTAGAGGAACAAACCTAAAGAAAAAAAAAAGTAAAAGAAAAAAAGGATAAGAAAAAAAAAGATTCGAGAACGATGTTCAGAAAAGGGGGCACGCGTCCATGGAAATCTGGTTGCTCCACGTTATGTGGGTATTCGCGAGTGAAAGTCGAAACCGCGTGCATTAGACTTCGTAAATTACATCGGCGGACCTGATCGACGCCGCCGCAACGATCGCTGTCCACAGTATCGCGAATGACGCGCGTATTTTCGTCTGACGACATCATCGACGTCGATTGAATTGAGATGAATGACTTTAAACGATCGCCGTTCGCGACCACCGGTGAAAGTAGGAACCTTCGGTGTAAACTGGGTTACGAATAATATTGATCCGCGAGAGAGGAGGTGAAGAAGGAGGAGAAAGAGGAGGAGGAGGAGGTGGCGGTGGTAGTGGTGATGATGGTGGTGGTGGTGGTAGTGGGATAGTGGTGGATTCGAGTCGCGTTTGCACGCGGAGACTGATGCTCGCCAACGATTCCACATTTTTTTTTTTTCGATAACAATGAGGCTTGCCCGGGTGTCGTATCTATATACAGTTTACGCACGACGACGCGGCGATCGCAGATGCTTCCCTTTTCAACTGCAGAGATATCGACAGGTTGCTACACTCTCTCCGAGATAATTTGGAGGAAAAAATATAACTGTTGTTGCGATGGGTACGCGAGATTACTTATCTCTGTTACGAGTCAGATAACGGACGTAGTAACAACAAAGTATCTCGAATGCAAATTGCATCGCGGGATTCTTTCCGCTGCGTTCTTTCGATGTTAAAAGAAGTATTAAAGGTAGTTTAACTCCAAGAATTGATACGTTCAAAGATGCGAACGAAGGGGAATTAATTCTGGAACGATTAAGAGAATGGGAGGTATACTTTGCGATCGTCTATTATTGAAACAGAAATACAAATACTAAATAATAATCTTTCTATCGAAGCAAATTTTGTTTTACGAACTCATGAAGTTACAAAATATTAACGACAAGAAACGTGATTTGACACCGCGCGCGCGCGCAAAGTACCTCGCCCACCTCCCGCCGATATTTGCGCGAGAATAACCCGACACTGCTAGGGGGGTTAAAAAGGAGGAGTTTCGCCGCCTGCAGTTTCGCACCTGCGAGATCCCCAAGCGAGTGTCCAATTATGCGGAGAGCGGAAATCGGGCTTACCTGTTCGCTTTCGAAAGTCGCGCAAGCGCCTGGCTCCGTCTCGATCGGGTCCTGGCTGACTTTCGCTCGAATCTGAAAAAGCCATAAAGCATGGAGAGGCATGTTTTAGCGAGTCCGGCCGCTAGTTAAGTTAAGGGGCACACGCTCATCTTAGCGGCTATTTCGGGAGCGGACGGAACGCCGCCATCCGCTTCACTGTCGTCGTCGTCGTCGTCGTCGTCGTCGTCGTCGCGCGGAGAGCCGCGCGATTTCCCGTCCCTGCAAGCAGGCCGAAAGCAGCAAAAGCGCGCGGGTTGCCGCCGCCGCTGCCGGTACCTAAGATTAGCGCGGGGCGATAATACCTCAAGGTCCGGCTTGTTAGCCGTCTTATTACGAAATACCAAAAAATCGCAGCGCGCGTGTTTACATCCTTGGCTCGGCCGGCGCGCTTATGTCATCATCATGCGCGCGGGCTTGGCATGCGCGACGACGACGACGACGACGACGACGACGATGATGATGAAGACGACTCCGGCCGCCTCTGCAAGCCTCTTTCGCCTGCATCTCTGACCGGTCAGGGACGTTGCCATCACTGCCAGCACGCGCAGCAACTGGCGCGGTTTACATCCATGAGACAATCCAAAGTATTCTCTCTCTCTCTCTCTCGCCGATTTTCAGCGATATGCAAATTATTCTATTCGCGTTGCACAAAAATACTCTGCATTTTCAGCCGTTTCGAGGCTGGAAGACATTTGGCTCAAATAGGTTAATTCGGGAGACTCCGAGAGAAGATAGAAATATTTACATACAAAAAATTTTGAGAACGAGAAACAAAATTGGGAAATATATGTAGATACATTCAATGTACCATGGAATTTAATATATAGTGATTGAAATTAATCGCAAAATACATAGAACTTATATATACTTTTTAAATAAAAATAGAAATGCTACTTTAAAATTAAATTCTATTTTCCTTAAAAATCGCAGACGTACATATTTGCTTTAATGGAAGTCCTCGGAGATCTCAGAGATTGAGAGAGATGTCAAATTACGCGTGACGTCTCGGCCTCTTCCTGATTCCGTTCTCTCCTGCAGTACGTTACAGGAAAATCGGCCGTTTCACATTACGAAACGATCGAAAGCGACTTCGTTTTCACTGGCTCGTCCACTCGAAAAGAGAAAACTAGTTCGCCGTCATCTCGAAAGCTCGTGCCCGTTACTCGTCAATGCCGATTAAATCTGTCGAATTTGTTCATTGTATCGAAAATGTTATTCCTTTGCAGTGTTTCAAATCTATATATGGTATTTATCTTGCAAGTGACGTTAAATCAATTTCGAAAATATAATGCCACAAACAGTGCAAACAATGCACAAATAATGCCACAAAATATAAAAAGAATACCTATTTCGAAGAAAGAATATTTCAAAATTTGATATAAACAGAATTTGAAGCCAATTAATATAACTTGTAACTTTCTTAAATATCGACAGAAATAATCTTCGATACAAATTCTCTACTTATGTACCGTTCACAACAATGCGATCGATGTGATTGCGATAAATTATATCCTTCGTCCGTAAATCGAATTTATAAATCGACTTTAAACTCGAGCCTGAAATTGCAATTATCGGTTTCCAATCCTTATATGTAAGTAATACAAGAGAGAAAATCCCGGGGAAAAACGAATCCAGATCTAATTCAGATCGAACGATATGTACGCGTGGCAACGTGCAAGGCTCACCCTGGTGCCCCAATGTCTTACGCAATAGACTTATCATATTTGCGCGCACGCGTTGGCGTTAATTAAGCTACCGCATACTATCACACATGCGGACACGAAAAGAATTAATCACGGAGACGGAGGCTTCCCGAAGGCCATTCGATTTTTATCACGGCGAACTTGTATTTTCCATCGCGAAGGTCGCTCGAACGTGTTGATTGTAATGTTAAGCTTCACGGAAGTCATACTTTATGTCGCTAATGCGAAGGTGCGAGAAACGCTTTTCAATCAATGCGCGCCAAACCTCACAGCTACGGCTTACGCATGGAAGAAACCGATCAGCGTGTGACGTTAAATTCATGACGTTCATCTTGAATCGAGACGAAACGCCGTTCGAAACGTCGGCGAACAATTGCATCGCGAGACGAAAATTCTCCGACGCTGCGCGCGCTGATGCAGAATCGCGGCGGTGAGCAAAATTGATTTTCATAAAAATCATTTGTCTTCGTCACCGAGACTTGGCAAGCTGAATTGGGCGTGCGTTGACGCGACTGTGTACATTATTCACGAAGATTAAGGTCAATGAAGGCGCAAAGACGCGGCGAGGCGAGGGCAGTTCGGCTGCCAGAAGTGGCGCGAACACGCGACTCTGAAAACTAGTTTCAAAGGTCACGGTAGTGGTCTGATAAAGAGAGGCGGCGGAAGTCGCTAATACTTTACTGGGCGGTCGCGAGGTAAATAAGCTTCTCGCGGTTAAGTACGGCGACTGTGTGTTAATCGGCTGCGGGGACGAGGAAACGATCCCGTGGAAGTTGCCCCGACAAATTTCTGGAGATTCCAGAAATTTTCTCACTCCTCCACCCTCCTCCGTCACTCCGGGCAACCGATTAGCACACTCAACGAACTTGTCGTGCGACAATGCGGATTATCGACATCGTCGCGCGACACGTCTCCGTCGAGACGGAGGAGGTGAACGAACACCAGAAAAGGTTACTCACCTTCTTACGTGGGTGCTGCTCCTCGATATAGTCGGGCACTATCCCCTCGTCCAGCGTGGTCGAGCCCGGGGTGCTGCTCGACGACGAGCCGGACGCGTTGTAGGGATAATGCGGCTGATTGTGCGAGGGATGCGAGGTCGCCGGGCACGGGGAACTCCTCGTCGGTACGCCCTCCTCGCTGAGGGGTGGACTCGGGGTGCCGCTTCGCCAGGAAGCCCCGCTGCTGCTACTGCTATTTGACATACCGCCGACTCCTGGTGAGCCGGCGATCATGCCGCCACCTCCGCCTCCACGACTCCCCCAGGAACCTGTCGCACAGAGCCAATTTCTTCCATATTCATTTCGGCCCGGCCGATTATCGTGGAAGCGCGGTTAATTCTGTCTTTGTGTTTATACGTATGTAATAACACGACGAACAAATAAAAATTAAAATTATTTATTGACACATATTTTCATTATTTTTTTTAAAGAATCGTCTTACTTGCAAAACAAACAGATTGCTGTAAGGAATTCTTACTTGAAATAAAAAAAGCTACGCTGAGAGAGAGACTCAAAGATTACAAAAACTCAGACTACAAATAAAAAGAAAAGAATTTATTCTGTGCCTGCTTTCAACGGCTTATATATATAGTACTTGTGCGAATGTCAGAAGGAAATAAACGCCGTACCGTAATTGTATTGGCAGTGAAGTGGCGGGGGGTTGTGAGGACTGTGAGGTGAGCACGAGAGCGACATAAGGACCAGGGCGGCAGCGCATTCGTCCATGCAATCACCGCGTTCGTTGGTGCGACAACCCTCACGTCCGCAGAGCACCCTCTCCCCGCCCCAACCGCTGTACGTCCGTTCGGAATCATTGTTCGAGCTTGGCCGTCGTTTCCTGGATCTGAAATATACATTACCACATGTGCTATAGTCTCGCTATGTTATAGCATACGTGCGTACATCCGCAAGTCACACATTCAAATCTGAACTCACTATTACCCTACTTCAAGCACGATCCATTTTTCCCCGATGGCGAATTAAAGAGTTTCCTCGATTTCATTTCGATTAGCCGAGATGAATATTCCAGGAAACTCTTCCGCGAAACACGTGTGTTCTGAAAACGGATACCCGCCTCGGTTTCTCGATAATCGCTTTTTCAGCGGAATCAATTAATTTTAGGAAATTCGCGCGAATTTCACGAGGAGCCAGAATCGGGCGCGTCTGTACAGCGTCGATCTTGGACCGAAGACGGCAACGCCTTTGAACGGTGGCACAACGGTAGGATATCTTGCGACAGAATACATCTTGCAGCAAAACGGGCCCAAAGTAATTTCCTTAAGAGCCCACGTCGAATAACAGCATAGGAGGTAATCGACGCCGGAGTTACGGGCAGCGTTTCTGGAATTACGTTTTCCTGAAACCGCATAAAATGATACGTTCGCCGCGCATCTCTCCGTTTCACTTCGGAGCGCCCGAGCGAGATCGCCCGTTGTCGTACGGTAATACCCGGTGGCAGGGAACCTATAAGCCGATATAGTCACTTTTCCGGGAAGGACTATAGATTTCCGCGTAAATACTGCACGTGGAGTATGTACCGTTCGTATATAGACGCCCGCACGGGTCGACGTCGTTTCCTCCACGATTACTAGTGCTTTCTCCGACCGGACGGAGTGACCAGGTGAAATGTGTGCTCAACGTAAATCAACAAGAGACATAGAGAATACACAATGCGACACAATCTGTCTCGGGACTAGAGAAATTTACTAGAAAATTGGGAGTTGAAAATTGTGCCTTCTCATTTCAATAGTATTATACTTATAGTTGGTATATTATACTTATATTGGCATGAGAGAACATTTTGATGCTAAAGCATTATATACCCTTTCCTTCTCAAGTTATTTTGAGATAGGATAATAAATAAAAGACGACAAAGAGGGAACAAGAATAGAAGGATTGTATCAATTATATATAAATGCTAAACACTTGCGTTTTTAACGGCAACTTTTTTTCGTCTGACTCTACGCGAGTTAATCTTGTGCTTGTGACACAAAGTCCTCGCAGGACTTTGAGGAACTTTGTTCAGCCGAACAACTTTTGCAATTCTTGACGAAGAATCGCCCATCTTTCCTCTCTCGAAGGCAGCGCATGAAGCGCCGTTTACATCGCTGTTGCCGATGCAGCTTTCGAGACGATTATCGTGCACTGCTAGGAATAGCGGGGCTCGCCCGGAGAAGGTGGTACGGGCCCTCTCGAGCCTACGAAGGACAAAAAACGCTAGAGAGGGGGCGCAAAACCGACGATGTAGTCAAGGCCGCTGCTGCCGCCGCCACCGCCGCCGCCGTCGTCGTCGTCGCACTTAAGCCAGCCCGCTCCACTCTCGGGGAGCGGTGCACTGAGAGTCGAAAGTGAAACATAGAACGCCGGCCGGCATAGAGAATGACGCACGTACCAGCCGGTATTTCGAAAGCAACACCTCCCAAGCACACACTTCTGCACAGCTGTCCCGTTTGCTTCGTGTACCAACCGTTATATGTGTCGCGCCACTTAGAACAGGCGAGAAGGCAGGCTTGAAGGTTATTCCTTCGAGCCGGTACACAGCAGTAACGTAGAAACGCCGCTCGGGTCTCTCTAGCGCGACGACTATTGCGAACCGTCTCGTAGTCGGAGTTGCGCCCTTTTTTTCGAATTTGACAATTTTTTTACTTGAACGATCGTCCGATATATAAATATCGCCAATTCACGCGCGCGCTCTGTTCTGTTCGCTTGAAATTCCAAAAGTTTCTTTGAAAGGCAACCTTCGCGCTCACTATATTTTTCATTTCTCTGACTTTCCCGTATTTTTTTTTTCACGGTCTCCCGGACTTGCGATACACTCGATACACTCGACCGTTGCCCGCTAATTGCGAGATTACGATCGCCTTATGATTGCCGCGGAAGCGGCAGATTCAAGGAGTTTAATTGGAACTCGAGGCGCGAGGGGGGAAGCGAGAGGTCGAAGCCGTTTTACTTTTGAGGCGAAGCTGTTACCGTTACCCGCGGTATATACGCGAATTACACCGATACGGATTGAGGGATTGAACCGCGGAGATAATCGGCACACGGTGGTAATTAAGAACCGGCATTTCTTGCGCGAGGGAATCCGCACCGGCGTTGCAGCGCCTTAATTCGTCCGGGAGTGCCTCGAGTTGAAAACAAGAAGCAACCGCCGGAAAACGCATCGTTTACCGCTCACTCGGACGAGCTCCGTCCATTACTGCACTCCCGCGGATCGGATTTTTATCTATCCCCCTTAACCCTGCTGTGTTCCGCTCGCGTCTTTGCTGTGCGCGCATTCGGTACGCTTGACTGCGAATTACGTTTCAGCGCGATTTCACAGTCCAACAAAGTCCGGTTTCCTTTTTCTCGCACGTGTCGCACAAAGACACGTTAAGAGAGAGAGTTCACGGTACTGATCGTATCCGAAAATCCAACCAACGAAGTCGAACGAACCTGACCTTCTTCGGATTATCACTTTTAGAGTGAGGGAGAGACACGTGGATACGTAGCGCTGAATACTTCCAGCGGACTGACATTGAAAATTAGCATGTAAAACAGCACGCACGCCTACCAGTCGGTTCGTTACAGATACACCGTCATCGTATTATATAATACCGATTATTCACGATACCATCACGTAATATCAATTATTAAACAATAACAACTTGAAAACACGGATGAAAAAAAAACACGCCTTAATAAATGCACGATGCGAGAAGCTAGATAGCCGTCTGAAAAAAAGGGTTGCATATATAGATCTCGCTTGTCGGGATGTGTCCTCGCGGCGAGGCGGAAGGCTTGTCAACCGCGACCGCGGAATTTTTTTACAACGAGGAGGAAATTGATTCGTCACGGTCCTATTTATTTGTCACTAAATGGATTAATTCGTACCGGTAAACGGTAGGCGAGAACCAATCCTTCGACGTATCCGTCTTCGAATATCGCGTGCAAATTGCGTGCGAACGGTAAAGAAAAAAATTGGACCGTGAGAATTAAGATTTTGGATGAGAACCTCTCGTTTCCTTTCCTTCACTCTGATTGTCGCTTTAATAAAACTCCAATGAGACAAATATACTCGCGTCCGTGAGTCAACTAGGAGCAACTGCGAGCAACTGCTCTTTATAGTTCCGTTGTACACCGAATGTACGATGAACGATAGGCACGTTTGTAGCACTCACCGCGACATTTCCCGACTTAGTTTCGCTCGACAAGAATGTTGTAATACGAAGAGACCCAGAAATCGCATCAGTAATCAAACTCGTCAAATCAATTTTTCTTCATGTCCAAATAATTTTAATGTTAGATCGATGCAAAAGATTTGTCATGTTTATCAAATAAAATTAAAAATAAAATTTCAATGAAATCAGAGAGCAAGATTGCCACGACGAACTTGGAAATATTTTCTTTTTCATTTGAAAAAAAAAAAATTATTTACTCTGTTTTTCAGAGAACTTTGTTTTTCCAATCTTTTTTTTTATTTAATACGTAGCCGGGTCTTTTGATATCTAATAATTTCTTCTTTATGAAGTTTACAACATTTACAGTTGCAACACTTATAAATTCATAAAACTTATAAGTTGTCCTCTGTAAATGCTTTTCATAATTTTTCATAATTTCTTTTCCCATGATTTTACACAAATATATGCAGGATAGTCCTAGAAAAAAGGTGAAGATATTCGTTTCTCAAGGAAATCCGCTATTCGAATGAATATTGACGTCCGATATATCTTTGCACAAGTAGAGTCTGAGGTAAACCATAAAGTCATTAGCGGGAACGGCTTCATGGGTACGGCGTATCTATCCGCTATGTGCCGCCACGCTATGCGCCGCCGCGCCGATACGTATCGCACCTCTTCTGACAAGTCAATCGAGCTCGTTGGTGGAAATCGTAAAGTGGTACACGCGCCTGCATAGTCGACGTGTACACGCGGTGCTATTAGCGTCGTGACATAACGTTACGCAACGCGATCAGTTGGAGGACGAGCGCGTGAGTTACGCGTTATACACGCAGCAACATCAGACACACGGGCCGCCCAGTTTATGGATCGTTAAACGCACGTCCGCCAATTTCTCTCCTCTTCCTTTTTTTTCCCTCGAGCGATTGTCTCCGGGCGCGGACTGGAGATTCGAATCGCAAATCACCGGTGCGCCGCCGACGACGCTCCGCGTTGTAACGTAACGTTAGACGGGAAGGCTACTGTTAACGGTAACTCCTCTGTAACAAACTCAGTTCGCATCGGAGTTGGACTGGCACGTAAAAAAAAGTTACATCCCGTAGGGATTCTATACTCCGAGTTCAACTCTCTCTCTCTCTCTCTCTCTCTCTCTCTCTCTCTCTCTCTCTCTCTCTCTCTCTCGCAGTTCGACGGGCTTTTGCAATCTCCGCCGAACTGCGGAGTTTCACGCTGGTCGCGCGATTTTTCACGTGGAAAGTCGCTAGATAAAGTTTTCCATGCGCCGTCCAGCGGATGCGGACGGAACGGACGACGAAAACGGAGGATGGAGAACGGCGACGGCGCGCGCGCCGCGACGTTCGATGCAATGTGGGAACGGGGGATCGATCCCGGCGGAGCGCACGCTTACGCGCTCGGAAATGCAGCCCCGCGGATCCGGGGACGTTATATAGGTCGGGAAGCTTGTTGATCCGTATTCGCCGCGCGGTCTCCCCGCCGCGGGGTAACTGGGTCGCTGAATGTTTCAGCGCACGCAAAACTAGGTTACCATCCAACGGTCCGATGGAGCCCGCGCACGTGTGCATGTGAGGGGAGAAGAGGGAGGTGGGAGGTCTCCCGTTCGCGCCGTTAAGTATCGTTCACATAAGGATTAATGTGGCGCCATTTGTATGTGACGCGATACCTTGTGAAGCGTTTTAGCTCCGCGGCTACCCTGTTTGTTCATTCATTCGCGTCCACGTTTTTCGCGCAAATGAAAACTTTAAATATAATCACGTCATGTCAGTAAACCAAGATGTATGTTGCTATCTATAATACGAAGATTAGCGTCATATAGACATTTATCATATATATAGACATTTATCCGTAATAAACGTATTAGTTTTTTTATAATATTTATTCGTTCTTACACACGCTTCGGAAGTAGTACTCTGACTTTTCGCGAAGCACGCCAGGGAAAAAATTCAATTAACATCCAACTTATCTAATAGGAATTATCATTTCTCGTGCGAGCAGCGTGCGTAAAATACAACCACGTTGCGATACCGTGCGCGACGTGGTTTGCGTATATATGATGTGGATGCGCGTACAAGCTG